AACCTTGGCCATTCTGTGACTTTGTGATTTTTGTCGCATTTCATCTCCAATCAAAGGTTGAGATGTAGATTTCTGAGGTGTGAGGGAAGAAGAGGGCGTCTCTTGTAACTCTTGAGGAAAATACAGTTCGAATACACGTAATGTTATCCCAGTGATCTGATTTATAACTCAAAACAAAGCTTTGGAATATTTTCAAATCAGCGATAATATTTACATGTGCAAATTTATCAGTCAAGGTTGGAAGCACAATTAGATGAGTAAGTAGGCTGCCTCTGCCCTAATGTGTGTTTTATATGGAGTTGGGCATGTGTCCAAGCCACTCATTTGTTCCTGTTGTTGTTATGCAGGCAAATAGCATATTTGCTATAAATTGTCATTGGTTGTGATTTGCTGAGTTGTGGCTAAGCAGGGCAGAACATCTACAAGAGAGTCACAATTCATCACCTCAGTTTTGTTACGACCGGGAAGCAAGAGAAGGCTGCAGGAAGGTGGGCTCAGGGTGCAGAACCTCTGTCACCCCTGCAGGACCCCTCAGCCTGACTGAAATCAGTGGCGTGCTTCTTCCTTCCCCTCACCCTGCCCAAACCCAGTGAGGCCCACAGGCCTTCAGACTTGATTTCAGCTAGCTTCAAGTGATGTTCTTTATGTACTTAGTATTCTCTAATGACAACAAAAAATAAACTTAATGGAAAATGCCCCCCAGAGAGTGTTACTTGGAGACAATACTTGAGCAACTAGCTTCCTGTACATAATCTTCTAATACGCATATATTATTTTTTCATGTTCTTGCCCAAGCTCTGGAATGAATGTGTTTCCAAGTTGCAGTTGATAAAGATCCTTGTATGAAGCCAAATACAGTTTTTAGGAGTCTAGCTGGTTTTTTGGTACCTACTAAAATATATGGCATATATTATACATACATATACTATATATAATACATCTTTCCCAATATGTTTGTAATAAAATATGTTCTGGTTCTCCCCCCTCCCCACCAGTCTCTTTAAAGAAACTATAAGATAAAGAACTGTAAGGTTTCCCCAAAACTATCTGCTTTTTTTACCCCCATTTGTCTGGAAACTGAAATTGCCCATCTGGTCCTGGTCCTTTGCAGGAGCTTTAGTTTAGCCTCTTCATAGCTTTCATTCCCTCTGAGACATAATCCCAGCTGGCACTACAACTTGCATGACTACCTCCCTCTTGTGGAATAACTGTAGACTTCTGAGGATATTTAATCTATTTTGGAAATGTAAGCTAAAAGGAGGAACAGGTACATTTAACAGCTCAAACAATAACTTCCAGACATTCTATTCCTTCATCTAGAATACTTTTGGTTTGGAGTTTTCATTAAATATTTTTGATTTTTCCATTCAAAATGATTGTCTAGCTATTTTTTCAGTACGACTTTCTGGCTCTCCTCCCATTATCACAAAAAAAAACCCTATTCTGGAGAGTATATCCTTTAAAAATATTTGATTAAAAAATCAAATGAAAAATAAAATCAGTAGAAAAAACATAAACCACACAGAAGACTAAAATGTTAACCCTACCCTTAAATATTTTATTGTTTAGATATTGAACATGCTTCAGACCTTTATTGTTGTAGTAAAGTGTGTTTGTTGGAAGTAGCCATTTTTTCAAAAGTAAGGAATTTGAGCTTTTATTTTTTCAGTTTGGTTTCGATTTTTCGGTATTGTAACATAGCTATGTTTTATTTCCATTTTCTCATAATTGTCTCCCTGCAATAATAATTTCTTCTTGGGGAAACTGGTGATTTCACACTGTTAAGTACATCTATTACCAGAGAGGTATGTGTTCAATTTGCACAGAAGACATTAACAGATCATTGATAACTTAAATGTACTTACTGCTAATTTAGCAATTATATTTACACGAGCATTACCAGAATGAGACGTCATAAAGAATTGCTCATTTCTTACACTACTTTGGTAGCAAAGGAAGTGATAGCTGGGAACTGTAGAAAATCCAAAGCCATTGCAGTGGTTGACTCAAGTCCTCTAGCACATATCTTTGTAACTGCACTTCTGGGTAACAGTTTTTCTTTTGGTGTTTTAGAGAAGAGATGAGCATCTTAATGCATTGGCTTTTAAATCTGAACTGACTGTCTTAAAAAAGTTTTCCACCAGTGCTTTATCCAGTCATTTACCAGAGAAAACATCTGACCTTTGAGCTGTCAATAACGGTGTAAAATCAACCACTGTCCCCATTTTACCAACGTGTCCTTTCTAAACAGGTCTCCACCAATGATTTCAACATTTCAATCATGTAACTCCTGTAGCAAATCTCAGTAGTAGCAGCCATGCAACTGTCTCATGTATGAAGATTTCCAATTGCTCTGCATTCTTTCTTGAACTTTATGCATTAGTACAGATGTAGTTTATATTCATATTAATTGCTTATTTTGCTTGTATTAGTTTTACATTTCAGTTATTATGATACTACTGTTTTTCATTCACAGATCTCAAGCTCCAGCAATGCAATGGAATAGCTGCTGCCTGGAAAAGCCAGATGTGAACACAAAAGTGATCAGAGTACCAACTGGTAACTATTATGTAAATATTTTAAATAATGTTTTTCAGATTGCATTTTTAAGATCATACATTAACTGATGTGAACGGTTAAGTAATAGTTCTTTCTTGTCCTGGGTAGTTTATCCACATATAACAATTCATTTAAAAATTGTGTGACATGCTATTTATGTACATAAAACAATTATGTTCTTCATGTTTAGAAAAAGGATTTCAACAGGTGATCTCTGCAGGTTCCTGTTATATAATACCTGTTTTTTAGAACTGTTGAAAGTTGGTAAATATATTCTGTAAACAAAATCAAAAAAGCATGGGTGAGACTACTTTGAGGAAATATCAGGATTAGGCAGCAAATGAGGCCATACCATATGGCTGGCACGGTGTTAGTTCTTTAAAGGCATATTTTGCAATTGTAAAACATGCTCCTAGTTACTGATTTCATGTCAGTATATAAAGACTCTAACTACATGTATGGTACTTGTAAAACTTTCTCAGTTTCTACTTGTTAAACTTTCTCATCAAATTTCCCAGTGAAATCCAAAGTACCTGTGAAATTATGCAATAGATAGTAATTCTACCTACTGTACCTGAAAGCAGAGAAAACAAGCACATGCTGATAGACCTGAGCAGCTGGTGTCTTTCGTGTGTGCTTTGGCAATCCAAGCAAATACTCAAACCAACAGCATATCACGGAATAAGTGACTACTACCAAGCTATATCACTCCCTGTCCAGGACAGTGTTTTCAAGTTGCTTAGCAAATCAACTTAAACATTTCAAAGCACAGAGGTAATAATAAGTTCTATTTTAGAGACTTTTTTTCACCATGAATGGTAATGTATCAATAGGCTTCTATTAATCCACATGGCAGGCCTAACAGAGTCAGCAGCCAACAGCTTGACAATGTATCATGATCCTGCTTTGGGAGAGCTCATATAGGGATGAGAAAGTCTTGGCCTCACTGCTTAAACTACCAGTTGCAAAGGACTTTTGTAATGAGATTGCCATCTTCTCGACACTGGGCTGTGATTTGCTAATCAATTTAATATAACCACTACACTGTTCTACTTACATAGCAAGAATCAAACCATCAACATGAAGAGACGAAAGGGTCTTTCTGCCAACCTCTCAGGTAATGTATTTCTGTAAGGAATACCACTAGTTTTGTAAAATGTGTCAGGATTTTTCAAATGCCTTCACTGCTGACTCACTCCTATTGTTATGGGGGTCAGGGCAATATAAACAAAAACTAATTTTATGCAGCTCAACTTACAGAAGTAGGAACCCTGCCTTTCCCTAAGGCAGACATAGTTGTGCCTTATGTATGTAGCCGTGAGTGAACCATTCATGGCCCTTCCTCCATTCATTTTGTTTGTTATCGTACCAGGGCAGACACGGAATCCTTATTCTACTTGACAACCACATATTTAATACTTGGTTTTCAAATAACTGTGAATGGTCTTCATAAAAAACACTAGGCTTTATATTAAGTTCAGGCATTTTATACTGTTTTGTGGAGAGAGGGATATGACTTTTTCCTCCAATTTTGCATGAATATATATTGCTTCAGTGGGGGACTGGTTGATTCAGCATGTAACTTCAAGTGCTGAAGCCAAAATGACTACTTCCATGCTTTAAAGTGATGTGAAGTGTTTAATGACTCCGTCATATAAAACAATTGTTTGAACTGTTTGACAAGGAAGCAAAAAAATGTATCAATCTTGTTTCAAAACCCTTGACAACTGCCAAATACCTAAGAAAAAAACTGATAACATCACACTTGAATCTTGTAGATGTCCATGGTTTCAGAATAACATAGAAAGAATAATGATTTTTACAGCAAGTAGCCTGGAATAAAAGTTACATAAGACATATATATGCAGATGAAGAAATGGTTCAGCTCCTAATTTAAAATAATAACATTATCATCTACTGCTTGAGATATCAGTTCAAAGGAACTCACACACAGTGCTGATTGCTTTCCATAATGCTGCCATACAAACTTAATACCATTAATGAATACTTAGAAAATGTTGTGGATTGATGCCAGAACCAAATGTTTGGGGACATTAAGTATTTGTGGATTTTTTTTGCAGGGGTGGAGGGGAGTTTGTGGAAGAAAATTTAAGGCAATTCTGTCTCTTTTTTTTGCAAATTTGCTTTGGAAATGAATGGTAGTTATGACCTATGTTTGTTTGAATAAATGAGAAATTATTTGTGTGCATTGAATTTAATTTGTTTTTTGTGTCTGTGTGATAAACTGTCATTTTAGCATAAGCAATACAGTCACTTTAGCATTATTAAGTAGTATGTTGGTTAACCATAGCATTCATCTATGGGCTGCTAATACTAGGCAGTTGCATTTTTTATTTTGTAAAATCCAAAACTTATGTAACTTCCTACAACTATCCACCAGCTATTTCATCATATGACTGCTAGGCATCCGCTTTCCTTTAAAGATCTTAAGACTTAGCCAACTGGTAAGTTGTGAGCCAATGAACTGTTTAGGGTAAATTTGTTCTATTTTGCCTGATAATTATCTTCAGACTTGCCTGAAATTCTGTCATCTATAATGTCTAACACGAGCCCTTCTCTAGAGCAGTTGTTCCAATATAGCAAAATAAAATGATAGCATTTATTGGTAATATAACAAAGAGAGGTTTTTAACACTTTTTGCACCACCCCTATAACCAAGAATATCTTGACCAGAGACAACTTCATTTTTAACTATGAAGCAAAGACCTTATCCCTTGGATTTTTGCTATTATTATTTTTTAAAGTCAACGGAGTGTTTTTCTTGGACATGGCTGAGAGAAAAAAACTGAAATAACAAAATACAATTTAAAATTCAATTTCCTTTTAAGGAAATTAGATTTTCTTAGGACGAAGAGTTTTTCTCCTTCTGTGCTCTTCCTAATTAGAAACATGGACAAAGCATGTGTTTTGAGGCATATTTATGAATATTATTAATTTCTTTCATTTTACTTGTATCAGCAAAGACTGATTAGTCAACCAAGTACTAGCTACATATTCTGTTTAGGATGATATTGTGATATTATGATATAGCTAATAGCTGAGTGGATAGACAGCATATTTCAATGGCATGTCAACTCTACTCGTTCAGGCTAGTCTGAAAAGAACATATCTAACAAGAGCCATTCCTCAGGCCTGGAAAGGCCAGTCAAATGATGCCACATAAGTTGGTTTAATGAACGATTATCAGACAGAGAACTGTGTCCATTTATTTAGACAAAATATGCCCCTGTATTAATACAGAAGGACAAAGATACAGGAATTTGTTCCACTGAACAATTCAAACTAAAACTTATTCCAGTATGCAGTTCTTGGAGAAGGTTTGCTGCACAGACGTATTTGCCACCATACATATGAGTAAATGTGCTAAGCTCTACAATGAAAGATAAGGAAAAAAGGTGTAAGAAAGCAATAAAACATGTTTTCTTTAAAGAGAGGACAGGAAATGTGATAAGGCTGCCCTCTTTGTGCCCAAGGATACATTTTTTTCTGCAAGTACCTATAAGCTTCTGGATCAAAACAATGAGAAATGAGAATTAATTTTATGAGAATTTTATGCAAATTAATAGATTTTCCATTTCCTTTCACACTGTCCAGTCATTTGATCCTATAGAGATGGAAAACATCGCCACCTTTGAGAAAGGGTGAAGAGCATTTGGATGAAGTGTCTCTCTGAAACTGGACCTGATGCAAGGGTCCAACCTCTCACAGCAGTTACCGCTTTTCTTAATGACAGACACATACATAGTGCTTCTGTCTTCAACATAGTATGTTTTAACTCAGCGGCACACTTAGAGGCGAGCTTTAAAAAGATGTTGAGGTGCCCAGGTGGTTCTTTGACCAGAGCCCAAGTAACTACAATACAGACACACACACAGACACAGACACACAGACACACACACTTTGCACCAAATAAAAAAAAAAAAAGTAGCCATCTAAATAGTAGAAATACTGTAGCCTCGTTTCCAGTATGTTTCATATGGGTTTTCTGTTTAATAATAAACGCACATTTTTTTAGTCTTTTCTTTTGGAAGAAGTGATAGGAGTATTAACGGGTTCTGCCTCCTCTATCCAGCCACATGTTTTCACAGATCTTACAGGAACTGATATTGCTGAGACCTCCATCACTCTTGGATTGGATTGATACTGGTCATTAATGTCAAAAGGTAATGGGAGCGGATGAGAAGTGAGGGTAGAGATAGACACAAAGATAGAACAATCATTCTGTTAGGAAAGTAGGCTAAAATAATTATGTGAAGCTTAAGAAATAATTCATCTCTCCCCATTTTCCTCCTTGTTTTTCTTTGTAGGGGACTATTAAGACCTAAAATTATTAGATGACCATTACATGTCTATAAAGAGCACAAGCTTTTTTCTTTTCTCTTTTCGTTCATGGTGCAGGGACCCAGCATGTGCTCTCTTTCCATACCGCCTCACCATTTTCTTATTTTGTCCCAGACCAATAGAGCACACAGACTGCAGAAAAGCAGAGCCCTATGGCAACAATACTTTGCTTTCTTTTCAGTTTCTTACTGACTTTGAGAGACAAATAAATAGCTATTTCCCTTTAATATCGGCTGAAAAACAGATTAGATGATCAGGCAAAAACAGCTAGATGTGGTGCTTATGTAAGCTAGTTTGGTTTTTTAATCTTGGTCAGTATCTTCTGCATTTTGTATAAAAAGCCATTATCTTGAGGCTAACTTCACTGAAAAAGAAGGTATGTCTGTGATACAGCTCTTAATAATACTGAAGATAAAGGAGCACTTACCACCAGCCTTCAAATGGGATTAAACTTATCATGTTCTCACTAATTCAGAAGGTCTTTGCCAAGAACTTTTGAAATCCCCGACTTCCGTCCTGCCTATTTTTTTTAACAAGCACCTTTTTCTTAACAATAGAAGGCAGCGTATTCAGGCCATCAATATGTACACCCACACAGCATGGGATAGCACTGTGTCCTGCCTGCCCACACATCAAGTTCTATTTATTTTGTGACTCTGCCAACCTTTCTTTATTCTCTCACTCAACCCTCCTTTCTATAATCTAAATGAATCATGCAATCAGTTGCAGTGTGAGCAGTTCTCCTACATACTGGTCGAAAATGGATTCCTCAGAAGCCCCACCAAAGGCAATGACTTAAGTACTTTCTAAATAGCGCATTGAGAATAATTTCTTTAAATGCCTCTTCATTTAGCAAAGTAATCTAGCTCCATTTTGTATCCTCCAGCAATAATTTTGTCTTTTAGTTCCTACTAAATCCATAAACTGTGGTATATCCCATTTCAGTCATGACAAGAAAAGCTCTTCAACCACATGACCTCTCAGACTGTACATCTCTTAATTTTCCACAAATCCAAACCACGGGCCAACTGTGAACGTCCCTACAGGTGCCTGCAGTATGTCTATGCAATACATCGTATCCTCTGGCTGTTTTTTTTTTCATGGCAAAACCATCAAGATACCAAGCTCCTTCAGGGCTGCAGGGCTTTACACTGCTAATAGCTTTTGACAGTTTCTGAAAGTTTGTTTAACTCAAATAATTTTGATAATGCATGCTAGTAACGAGACAAACCAGTTATCCCAGCATAACTCTTCCAATCTATTCATCAAAAGATGTATATTAATTGCTTAGAAAAAAAAGGATGATATTGTAACTTTTAAACTTAAAAAATCAAGTTTTTAATAAATCTACTCTTATTAAATCAGAAAACAGGAAAGATGGCAGTTTTTAAAAGAGCAATGGTGACTGCAGTGATCACAAGCCTGTTAAACACTTTCTTCTATCTGTGTGTTTGTTTTTCAACAATTATTTTATTACAGTAATAAAATTATTACTATTTTATATAACTGACTGATTAATTCTAGAGATGATCATGGTTTTCTCCTGTGCTCTCTGCTTTCCACAAGTGTTTGAGAATTCTGTGAAGTCATTAAAATTCAAATGTATTCTTAAGCATTGTCCTGAGGAAAGTTGGGGAAGCTTTGACAAAGTCCTGTTTTTTAAACTGAGAGGGGCACAGAGGGTCGAGCTGTTAGGAGGGTGGGCGGGACAATGACTGAATAGCAGAATCAGGATGATTTCTTAATGCAGGTAAGCCCAAAACTAACATTTGGACCAGTAAAACGTACTGTTTCTTGAGGGAGCTTGGTAAGTATAACTTATTGTGGTTCAGTGAAAGAAGTATGTGGTTGGGAGTCAGGCGACCTGGATTCTACTTCAGTTATTTTCACTGCTTGAGTAGTTTAGGTCACTTCTCTTTCTGCCTCATTTTCTCTTTGCCTGTTTAAATTTGTGTAAACAGTAAAAATTCTTTGAAGCAGAGACTGTCTCATTACATGCGGAGCAGCTGTGCAGCACTGTCATCACAGTTAATAGCACTTTTGCTTGTTGACACTATAGATTTTTCCTTATACAAGTAGTCTGATGGCTACTGCCAGACAGTAATAGAAGAGAGACACTCTGCACAATACTACTATTAATCATGTTCTATTTATTACAGCTGTGAAAAACAACAGTGCAGAATGTTGATCCGAATTATTTCCGAAGAGAACTGTGATTTTTACCTTAGAGCTCTGTCTTAAATCTTTGCACTCAGAAGCAAATAGTGAAGTTCACCTCTGCACTGGAAATTAGCTATACCTTTCTTCACTGACAAAATTTCAGCCTCTGAAAACTCCTTCTATCACATGAGCATCTGATGGAGATTCCCTGTTATGATCAATTGTTTTTTTCCTTGTGACTCCATCTTAGGGATGATTGGGTGGAGATTTCTGAGGATGCACCAGTGTACTCCCTTCAGCGGTGGAATGCAGAGAATTCTCCTGGAAAAGGCTTTCTGGCAAATTCTCTCCCTTCTCTTTGCAGACAGGGCAATTTTGTCTGCAAAGAGATGTGTTTCTGAGCAGATCATAGAAATAGAAGCAAAACCTTAAAAGACAACTATTCATTGTGAGTTTTGATGAGAAAGGAAAATAGTGCATGTAAGATTTTAATGAAAATATTAGCAGTACCCAAATATTAATTTGTAAGCTGGTATTTGAAAAGTATTTGAGCAAGAAGACAGACAGGTTCAGATTTTTCACTGAAAATACTTTCCCCTGTTTAATCATGGAGTTGGTTAGAACCTGTGGAAATTGTCAGTTAGGAAGTGTTAAACCAGAAGCATCTCTGGTCAAAATTTAAAACAAACAAACAAACACACACACACTGTCCTTGGTGCAAAGATGCATCTCAGTGCTGTTTTTGGTACTTCAACATGACAGAAGTGTTCCACGGGATTACGCTGCATTCACTCTTTATCTTTACCAAAAGACTCCCTTGGTAGCAGAGACAACACAGAATTTACCCAGCTAGCTCCTAAGGACACCTCTCTTGGTGTCTCATTCTGAGGTGCGTGTGTCTCCCCATGTACCCAATCAGGAAGTCAGATACAGAGTTCCAGCTGAGGTCTAAGGTATTTCAGTAGGCCTCTTTCTTTCTCAAGCCCTTAGTCTATCATCTGTAAATATTTTTCCTATCTTTCCTGGGTTTTATTATGAGTAATACTTTCGAAATATTGCGTATTTCTCAGTTATAGTAAGATAAGTGCCATACACATAATGTGTATCAGCAGACATGAACCCTTTGTTAGGAGCACTATCACTTTACTAATCTGGAATGTCCTTTGGTTTGGGTGTTTTATTTTGCTCCTCTAACAGCAGGGTGTCAGTCATTCTATAATGAGACCAACTGAAATATTAAACGTAATCTTTTAAATACCTCTTATCTTCACTCTCAATATTTTACAGTAGTTACTGAATTAAAACTCTTTTTAACTTGTCACCTTCCTAGCTCAAGCATCTGTTTCATTATATTGGAAGACTGCAATTTAAAAGAGACATATAAAACCCCCCTTTTCAGGTAAGATGCACGGGCCTTATTTTTAGTTGCTATTTAGAGCTGGATAATGAGTTGGGAGATGATATATACAGCAAGGCTTAACTGGTATAGCCACACAGGCTACATTAGCAAAGTACCACCTCATACAAGGAAAATGAGTTATTTTCCCATTAGAATTAAATCACATTGCTGAAGGACATAAGCTGTACCTGCAAAGAACTCACAGGAAAATGTGATGTGGGTTTTATCTGGAACAGCACGGCCAGATGTTGGCTAGAAGTACCAGCAAACTTCTAAATGAAGCCATAAATATTCCCCTTTTTCACCTCTACAGAGGATCCACTGGACCAACAGTCTTAACTATACAGGAATAAAAAGGACTGTGGGCCTACATAAGGGGAGCAGGTAGAGACAGGAATTAGGTGAACGTTTCGCCCCACTGCCACTACTCATTGGCCACAGCTTGCAGCAAGACTGTGTGGGATGAGCATGTAGAAATTGATTGACACATTGGGCCAACACTAAGCATCTGTACCCCTGCAGCAATGAAGGGAGGCAATCTGAATCAGATACATCTCTGAGTCATGATGCCTCCTAGGCCTCATCCCCTGGTGGGGCAGTTTACAATCATCTTTTGCTGGGGGGTAGCGCCTACCTATCTTTTAGTCATCGAAGTCATACAGAACTTCTCTCTGAGTAGAGCCAAGGAAAACACAGGAAGATGAAGTCAAACTACTGTTACATGTAAACTCAGTTCACTGCAGTCCAAATAATTCCACCTCAATGCTAATCAATGGAAAATTTATGTCAATCATTTTTGTTCTTCCCCCCTTTTTTTTTCACATGGTGCATGTAAAGCTAAAGCTGATACATCAGTTAAAATATCAGGAGTAAAAGCAGGTTGTAAATCAGGACTGAGCAAGTTCTAGCAGAGTCACATGGGAAGGCAGCTTATGCTATACCTAATTAGATTACTTTTATAAGCACTTTTATGAACAGGTGATAAGATGCATTCATGTACAGCATGTATGACAACTTATTGTCTGGCATGGGGGGAGAAGCACAAACCTCTCTAATTCTAGCAGACCAGTGCACTTACTAACTCTAATAGTGGTGATCTTCCATAATCATTTCCTGCATCATCTCACCTTCCCCTTTTCCTCTGTGGCAGCAAAAAGGAGCAAAACTCAGCCGTGTACTTTGAGGTCATACAGTACAATGAGAAAGAAATGTACAACTAGTTAATTACAGTATGGATTTTATTTTCCTGTAGTAACTTGTGATAGTAACTTCAGATGTCAAGATTATGGACCTGATTATCTTGTAGTAGATTTTATATTCCTGATACAGTGTGCATGGAAGATTTAAAAAATACCAGATCAGTAAATTAGTTGTAAGCTGGAAAACTTTCCTCCTTTCACTTCCAAAACAGAGTTGCTCTGTCTGGTCTGGGCTGTGGAGTCTTGAGCTCATTAGGCTAGTTAGTATTCAATGAGCACAGAACAACTTTAAAGCAGATGCGGTTAGTTTCTTCATGATTTCTTCTAGAGAAAAAATCATGCTAGCGAAGGGATTTCCTGTCACTTCTGTATTCCTAAAACAGTCACTTGAAGACACTTGGCACTACTTGCCAATGAGGGAAAAGCCAACTGCTCAATTTACAAATACATGGACCAGTGAAAACTGTTAAGAGTCCCACAGCACGGCCAATATAAAGACAGCCATCCTCACTACTACTACTGAGGAAGGCTGCTTGAACTTTCCTGGTTAGCCTTTTACTGGCATGCTTTGGGAGAGCTCACAGACACTTCCGCTTCATAGGGGAGCTGTGCAGCAATGAATTCAGCGGATAACAGTAAAGGGCTGGAAACTAAGCTTTTCAAATATTCCTGGCCAGGATGTTTAGATGCTTCCATATAGCAGCCTTGAAGCTATTTATGCTTAAAAAGCGTTAGTCCTGACACCAAATACCTCACCCTCATTTTTCTTTGAGGTCAGCTGAAACTTTAAATGATCATCTTGAGGACTGGGTCCAGCAAAGTGGTTCCAGTATACAGGAGAAAACAGATAACTTACATGCAATGTGCAAGAACAAGCTTGTTTTGTAATACAGCATATGGCGAATATGGTCTTCCTCTTTGTGTCAACTCCTGGCTGCTATAGAAGCACATCAAGAATGTTCTCCCTTTGACATGTGTGCAATCCTCCATGGCTATTGAAATAAATTGTGTGTTTGTGGGACAGACACAAAAAAGTCTACAAACAGTAAAGCATAATGGGAACTCCTGACATTGAGATCTGTTTCAATGAATGTGGAGGGTAAATTTGACTTGACCGAGTTTTTATTTTCCCCTCTCTTTAATATGAATGTTTTCTCTTTGAAGTAGCTTTAGCAAGAGCAATTCAAAGGTCAGCTATGTGTACACAGCCCTATTATTTCTTCATAGCAGTTTTTGTTATAATGAAAAATAATAAGACCTTTTGCCTTGATATGGTGCTTTTCATCTTCAAAGCATTTTCATAAACACTCTCCAGCTAATCTGAACACCCCTTTAAAGTAGCTATGGTTGACTATCATTATGATTATCACTATACAGAAAGGATAGAGTTTAAATTACTTAAATCCACAAAAGAATTTTATGTCACAAGGGAAATTAAAACTCAGGAGTCCCTATGTACTTATTTTCTGATCACAACATGATACCCTCTTCTCCCTAGGCAGGTTTGCACTGTGAAGAACTGTCTTCTGACACACAGACTGATTTTGTTTTCCGTAAGTACTTAACTAAACAATACACTTACATGAATTTTAGCTAGTACTTAGTACACCAACAGGAATGTTACATATTCATTTGGCTGGGTTACACAACTCTACCACGCATACAGCCAAATCTGTTCAGTAGTTACAGGGACCTCAAACTGTCAGACCTTACAGTCGGCACTTCTAGGAAGGCCAGAGTTTTCAGTTATTTGCTACATATCGACTCCCACCATGACGCTCTTGAGGCATAAAAATGACACTTTGCATTTAAGACTCTGAAGAGCCTTAATCTGAAAATATAAATATTTCTTTTCATCTCAGGGTTCCTCTGTACTTTTGTGAGTGGTATAAAGTATAAGAATGTGCAAGAACGTTGTCTCATTTGTAATTAAGCCATGGAAGCACTCCCCGTGACCCACAATCACCTGAAATACTGAGAAAATGAAGCACAGAGACTCAAAGTCCTTGCACATGTCTCTCTTTTTTGTAAAACTGAAATGAAACTGCACTGGATGACTTATTTTTATTCAGATAAATTGATTTACATTCCATCCTTTACGACATGAAGTACAAAGTACACCCTCTGGGAAGTACTAAGCTGCAATTTTATTTCAAGTGGTTCAGTGATGTCACAAATGAAATTATAAACTGAAATTACAACGTATCTACTAATCCTGTAAGTGCTGTCATTTTAAAAATGTACGTTCACCCTGAAATCAAAACTTTCTTTTTTTGACTGCCTGCTTCCAGTTTTACAGGGTTGTTGGAGAAAACGGACTAGTTTTCAAAACACAGATATGTGATAGCTGAAGCAGCCCACAATGATAAATGCTTAGTTAAGAACTTCTTCATTACAGTTTACTGAGGAACTCTCACTGAACCAGATTCCACCTTTTAGTTCTATGACAAGATGTTAAACTATTCAGAACTGACTTACCAAAAGCATATGGCCACCAGAAAATCAAGCATTTTAAAATGCTTATTTCACAAAGCAGTATTTCTTACCTGTGACAGAATAGATCCTTTCAGAATGAGATCCTTTCAAAGGCTTAAATGCACATACGGCTTCAGCTAGGTTATCAGCTGGTATGGATGAGGAGACTTCACTGGCTGCTGGTTGACAGTCACTTGACTTCAAAAAGGAATGTAACATTTCATATTGATACAGGTTTTTATTACAGGTTCCGTTTCTTTTTCACAGTAAACAAGCATGGTATTAAATTTGAAAAGATACTTAGCTTGTCTGCAAGATTCAGTGTCTCAACTCCCTTTTTCTGGTTCTGAATATGAGCTTTCCACCTGCTATCTGGAATGTGCCAAAACAGTTGTTCAGATGTTCTAAAACTGCATGTAGTAAAGCTTCCTTCGAATTTCCAGCTCAAAATTTCTCACTGAAGACTAATTAGTGTCTTCTAATCACTGTTCTGCGTTCAGATTTACGCAGGAAATATACAAAGCTCTATATAGAGTAATATACCCATAAAAAATATGTAGTACTACAGAGAGTTTGTAAGCATAAAGCTGGAAAGCTGATACCTCTTTGGACTGCTGTAGAACAAAACTCCTAGAGGAGCATCCTATGCAGAAACAGACAGCATAAGCTGCAAGTGAGAGTAAGAAGAGATTCTTACTTTATCATCCCTGGGAGTCAGGGTAGTGAATATTTTCAGGCTGCTTAAACAAGGTGAGCTGTCGTATTCAAAGAGAAAAACAAAAAAACAAACCAAAAAACCAAACGGACTACATAGTTGTACATAGTTGTGGTAAAAGATGAATACTGCAACACAGCAAATGTTTTTTGTAAGCAATCCAACACAAGAAAATTATAGTAGAATTAAGCAGAGGGACTTGCCCAAATTATTCACAAAAATATTATATGTAGCAAAGAGTAAAGGTGAACATACAGGTTGAATAGAAAGGCTAAGCTAGAAAGAGAAAAAAATGATAGATTTCAATCCTAGTATGATGTTATTACTATATTGTGCAGCATCGAAGAAGTTACCATGTAACTTGATCCATCTCCTTCTCTCTCTGTTGGCTTAGTAATGCCTCCTCTGGACAGCTGAGGTATTTCTGATAGGTAAGTACTATTAAAAATAGGTTCTTATAATTAACAAGATAGAGCCATTTTTTCAAAGTTTTAAATTTTGCATATATACCTCTATCTATATGTATTAATAAAATGCATATATGAATCAAGACTACACATAGTTCTCAAGATACAGGTTTATATGTCATGCTGAAATGCTCTGCTTAAACACACAGATTTGTTGAAACAAGAAATATACCAAAAATGGGAAAATTGTAATTATTCATAAATTATGATAGCGCTTTTACCTTTTTAGCTCACTGCAAGCTATATTAACACTGAAGAGCTAAACATACGTACTTTGTATATGTGTACATTTCAGGAAGAAAATACAACACCTAGTTCATTTTTTTAAAAAAATATGCTCAAGTTTGTTCTCAGAATCATTTACAGATACTGAAATACTACCCTTAATTTAAATCATATTGAACTTTTAAATGAATTGATTTTCAAATAAAGATAAAACTCTTCAACTTAGTTCCAAACAACGTAAATTTAACAATTTTTCCAGGCCAGAGCTAGATGTTTTGCCCTTTTTCTTGACATTTCAGACAAGCCAGAACTAATCAGAACTTCCTGCTTTATGTTGTTGTTCTATTGCATCATCCACAGACCTTGCAGCGTTATTTAGTAACACGCTCTGTTGTCAAAGTGAAGAGTTTGGGGGAGAAAGCAGGAGTGTCTCCGAGAATACGGTAGGTGGTCTGGCTGAAATATGCACAAGCTAAAACTTAGGTCTTAAACAGCCAAAGTCAATCAATGATTAGCATCTTTAGCATATATTTAGCAATGTGAGAAGACGAATAATTTGTTTTTATTATATTGTGCCATTGGTTGAAAACTCTCCGGTAGAACCATGGAAGAGCTTAGAAGAGTATTTATGTACCACACCCAGTGACAGAAGATGCTCAAGAGTTTCAGAAGATTCTCAGAGTTTCATGTAAGAAATATCAAAAAGAAAGCAGGATAGGTATCCTGGGCCTGATTCCAAGAAATATTTATACATAGCAGTATTCTCATTGACTTCAATAAAAGTGCTTCCGAGATGAAAACTTTCAAAAATACGTTAAAATCTTGTACTGAGAATACAGTTCAAGCAGATAATAACATTGCTCGGTTTATGGAATAGATGACAGCTATGTTTCCAAATATTCTGCAGAGGTTCAAATGCTGCGGTTCAGAAAGTGTACACTAGGACTCCGATAATAACGCTGTGAGTTACAACAAAAACTCAAGAACCAACAGGGTAGCAATACCGACTTCTGGAGAGGCGATATCCTGAAAAAAGCAGTCTTGTTAGCGTGCTCTGATCCAAACTCGTAACAAAACAGAGACCACCCCAAGAGATCATTCTGCATCTTATTTTCCTAATTATCCGCTAAAGAATTGCAAAGTTTACTGTACGTTTGTTTTCAGCACCCATATGCTTATCCAGTCGACACAATTCAGTATTTGTAAGGGACGAAAGACTGATACTAGATAGAGACGTAGAGACTGCTACAGCTCTGCCCAGAGCTGTGTTTCCTCTCCACCACGTCTCCCCGGACCCCGCGGTCCTCCCGCCTCCTGCCCT